CCATTGTTGTGATAAAATACCACTTATTTTACCAAAATACTTAACAGTAAAAGGAGCTTATTTTTTCTTTCTCTTCACATTCACACTGTTACCCTCTGTGAATCACCTTCCAACAATCGTGGTTTGTGTTCTCAGTGAATGAAAGAGACAAGATGTCTTCCTGCTACTCTTCTGAGATGCCCAATTTTCCCCTTGCATTTCCTCATAATGAAATGAACACTGAGCTGATGACATGACACTGATTGCCCAGATTTCAGAGAAGACACTTGCCCAGATCAAAGGCAATGAGTCAGGGCCAGACCTCAGTTCTCTATAGGAGCTTTCCCGGGTTCTTTCAATCCTTCCCAGTTGCTTCTTTAGTGTTCTGCATACACATCTACTGACAATTTTTGCTGGAATAATATGGAATAGTGATTAGGAGAATAAACTGTGGTAAGGAGAAAACTAGATTCAATTTTAAGTTTTCAAGTTATCAACTAGAATCTTGACAAAGCTCTAAACTTCTTGGGGCTGTAATTTCCTATCTGCAATGATCATTAATGGACCTGGTAAATGATTTGAAAAATTATTTATCAAATTCCTTATCAATACATATTTTCAAAATGGCTGACAGTAATATCACTCCAGTGGATTATGATGTTCTTTTTTTACATTTATTATTTTTATTTTTATTTTATGTGTAGGTGTGTATAGTCTGCATGTACGTAAGTGCACCCATGTAGTGCAATGCCTGTGGAGGCCAAAAGAGGCTGTCGGACCCCTGGGACTGGAGTTACGGACAGTTGTTAGTTGCCATGTGGGTACTGGGATTCGGACCTGGGTCTTCTGCAAGAAGAGCCAGTGTTCTTAACCACTGAGCCATCTCTCCAGTCCAAAAATAATAAATAAAATATGTTCCTTTGGAGCATCCCAGGTAGTGCGGTACTGTAAAAATGGAAAGGACTCAAGGTCAAGGAGCCCCTGCCATTTAGGAGTTGAACTTACCACTGGGAAGCTGGGCATGGAGGTGCATGCCTGTACTCCCAGCACTCAGGAGGCTGAGGCAGGAGGACTGCACTGAGTTTGGGGCCAGCTTGGCCTGGGCTACAAAACAAGACCCTGTTTCCCCACTCCCCCAAAATATAAAACAAGCTTCAAGAGCTGGGGATGTAGTTCAGTTGGTAGCATGCACAAAGCCCAAGGTTCGATTCCTTAGCACTGCATAAACCTGGTGTGGTGGTGCATGCCTAGGATCCCAGTACAGAAGAGGTGGGAGCAGGGGCATCAGGAGTTCAAAGCCATCCTCAATCATACAGAGACTTCAAGGACAACTTAGGATACACAAGGCCATGTTTCAAAAGAACAAACAAAACCCCTCAAAAAAAAAAAAAAGCCAGGTGTGGTGGCACATACCTTTAATCCCAACCCTCAGGAGGCAGAGGCAGGAAGATCTCTGTGAGTTTGAGGCCAGCCTGGTCTACATAGTGAGTTCCAGGCCACCTGGGGCTACAGGGAAACCCTGTCTCAAAAAGACCAAAAAAAAAGGGGTGGGGGCTACAGAGCCAGTTCGGCAGTTAAGAGTGCGCACTGTTTTTCTAGAGGCCGGGAGCCCAGTTCCCAGGTCAGATGGCCCACAACTGCCTGTAATTCCAGCACTGAACAACAAACCCACATTGCATACACATAATTTTAAAATAATCGTAAAATAAAAACTATTTTTAAAAATCACCCATGGACAGTAGCTTCAAACAGGGTGAGGTACTAGGAATCCTCATCTAATAAAAACAACTGGGACTGGCAAGATGGCTCAGCAGATAAAGGTGCCTGCTGCCAAGCCTGGTGATCTGAGTTCGATCCCTGGGATCCATATGGTGGGAGAAAACCAACTCAGCCAAGCCTGGTGATCTGAGTTCGATCCCTGGGATCCATATGGTGGGAGAAAAGAACCAACTCATGCAGGCTGTCCTCTGACCTCCACACTCACACTATAGCATGAGTGCCCCCCGAAATAAATAAATGTAAACACGTTTTTAAATGATGAGGGACTGGAGGGATGACTCGGTGATTAAGTACTTGCTGTTCTTGCAGAGGACCTGAGTTCGGTTCCTAGCACTCACATGGCAGCTAACAGCCATCTATAACTCCAGTTTGAGGTGATCTAACTTCCTCTTCTGACTTCCGAGGGGAATTCATGCACACTGCTGAACACAGACTGGTTAATCAGGAATGGAGAGAGAGAGAACGAGAGAGAGGGAGAGGGAGAGAGCGAGAGAGCAAGAGCAAGAGAGCAAGAGAGAGAGTGAGAGAGAGAGACTATGTGTGTGACACACATTAACCAGGAACAGGGAATGTGTGTGTGTTCGTCCACGAGTGTTATGCATCGAGGGTACTTGGAGCTAGCTGCATCTTTGGGATGCAGGGTCTCAGGCCCTGAGTTCCTGGGGTGGCTCCGAGGCAAGGACCCCACTACAAAAACAGATTTTCAAACTGGAGGAGGCTGAGGGAGCTCAGGCAGGACTTGGCCTGCCCCGTTGGGGGGTAGAGTTCTGGGTGGAGTTTCTCAGCTTTGTTGGAGATTGGTTTGACAGCTTGAACAAGACCCTTCACCTCTGGGGGTTTCAGTTCCTTCAAGTCTCAAAAGCAGAACAGCATCTTGTTCTTGTCCGATCCTGGCTCTGGGCCAGGGATGAGGATGGGTGGTTTCTGGAGATAGGCTAAAGTTCTTCAGAAAGGGAAAGGGGTCTAGAAAAGGCAGCCAGGGATGGGGGAGGTGAACAGGAATGAGAGAGGCCAAAGAGGTGAGAAGGCCAGGGGATGAGGCAGCAGGGAGCACAGGGGGGCCATTGTACAGGCTGGAACCAAGGCCAGGGCCTTGGCCCTTCACCTCCCTCCCACTGGGCTTTTCCCAGTCAGGAAGGGAACTGGTCCTGAGGCCAAGGGATAAAGAACCCTGTGGGCTGCCCCTCCTTTCCTCAGGCAGCCTGGCCCCAGCTGGCCTGGAGAGTCTGAGGTTCTGGCCAGAGGCCCCCAAAGGAAAAAGACTCTGCTCTAGGTTGGCTTTAAGAGAGTGCACTTATACACAGCCTGGTCTTCCCTGTGCCTCAGTTTCCCCTCTTCAGTCGCTAACGACCGTGGCTGATAGAAATGCCCTCAAGTCCGGGGAGCAATAAAGGAGGGTTATCTCTATGCGTCTGTGGGCAGCCAGCCCCCTCTCCAGGGCTGAGATCTTGGGGAGCACAGCCTCCTACCTGAGTCTTCTAGATGCCAAAGCCCCAGACCTGGACCCTAAAGATCGCTGGAGAGGGGAGGAAAAGAGCTGCGAGAGGCAGTCGGATCCAGCTCACCCGCAGAGCCCCCTCCTCCCACCTCCGCTCGCGTCCTCGCAGCGCGTGACCGCAGCACTGCGGCGGCAGCTCTGCCCTCCCCGCGCTGGATTCCTGGGGTGCAGGGTGGGAAGCCGGGGGTGGCGGTTGTGCAGGCCCGGATCCTGGCCGCCAGGCGCCACCGCCCTGGGGATGGGGGATGAGTCCCTCCACTCCTCTAGCTTTTGTTTCCGGGAGTTTCTCCACCCGTGAGCGTGTCGCTGAGTCACCTTCTCGGAAGGCGCCCGGGCCGTTCATGATCCGGTCAGGGCTGTCCCCGGGCGCTGCGGAGCCGAGGCGCGTATTTCAGAGACGCGCGCGCGAGGAACTGCAGGTCCAGAGATCGAGTCTCAGCCGGTGCCCACCCGGGGACACCTAAAGTAGTGGGAACCCAGGTCGGGGATGCCTGGGGTCCTCAGGGAGAGAAGACACCACCGAGTGAGGTCATGGCACCGCAGGGCTACACCGGCTGCGCGCTCCTCCCGGACCCACCTCTTCTAGACTTTCAAGAAGCATGCTGAGAGAGGTGGGGGGCGGGGCGCGCCCGATTGTGCGCGAGCCCTCTGCAGCCGGGGCTGGATTGACCATCTCCGCCTCCTTGCAGGGCTTCGGAGTTTGCTTTTGGTTCAACCTGGCTAGATTACCAAATCGGACTTGGCATTTTCTTCCTCCCAGTGTCCGCCAATAATCTTCCAGGAATTTAACTCGGGTTAGTTATGGACAGCTCCAGGTCACTTGTGAAATATATTGCAGGCAAGGACCCACGCTTATCTCCATAAGATGTTTATCTCCACTGAAGCGAAAACTCCTAGACGCGTGTGCATCTTCGCTAGGAGCCCGCGGGAGGGGGTGGGGAGCAGTGGGACCATGCCGCCCCCCCCACGCTTGCCTCTCCAATCGGGACTAGAACCCCGGATTCAGTCCACACTGCTGGGGTCCTCCAGCTGGCGAGGAGCGCGGCAAGGACCCACGCTTATCACCATAAGATGTTTATCTCCCCTGAAGCGAAAACTCCTAGACGCGTGTGCATCTTCGCTAGGAGCCCGCGGGAGGGGGTGGGGAGCAGTGGGACCACGCCCCCCCCACGCTTGCCTCTCCAATCGGGACTAGAACCCCGGATTCAGTCCACACTGAATTCAGTCCACAGCTGGGTGCTCCAGCTGGCGAGGAGCGTGGATCCGGATTACCCGCTGCAGGCGGCATCCCAGGCCTCCATAGCGTCCCTCCTGGGGGAAAGGATCCAACTTCTGAGGTTGCTGACAAGGCTTCCTCCTCCCGACTTTGTACTCCGAGTCCCCAGGCCGGTCCAGCTCTCCCGAGGAAGGCGTGCCAGGCTGTCCCGGGTTCGGTGGCCAAGTGGTTCCGCGGCCGCATCAGGAAGAGAAAAGTAAACCCTCCACGGGAGACAGCAGGGGAGGAAGCGAGAAGCTCGCGAGTGGGCGGGTGACACGACGTAGCTGGTCCAGGAGGAGGGATACCAGGAGGGGTCTGGGTCTCCAATTCTGAGTAGCTGGAGCCCGGCTACCGAAACTAAAGAGGCGCCGCATCTCTGCTGCATACAGCGAATGCAGATCGGCTTGGCCACGACCAGCGCAGTGGGGTCGCCACGTGGAGGTGCAGCTCAGGGTCCCCCAGAGAGCTCAGAGCCACCGGCACCCGATGCCCCTGCGCCTCCGTCTGGGCTGCGCGCTCCCGAGACGCTGCTTCCGCTTCGCTCTGCTCCCAGGCCCGGGCTCGGGATACCCCGACCCTCCGCGGCTCCTCCAGCCTGGCTGCAGCGGGGGCACGCGATCGCGTTCCAGGATCCAGCCCCCAAATCTGCGCGGGGCGGAGCGGTGGGCGCTGACCGTGTTGGGGGTCCACGGCGGTGGGAATGAGGGCGGCGCGCAGGGCAGTTTCCACCCGGGTGAGCTCCAGGAACGCGGGGCGTGGCCTGCCCAGAGCTGAGACGCAGCGCCCTCCTCGCGCCGTGGCGAAGTTGTGCGAAAAGTTTGAGGCCAGAGGGAGTGATCCCTGGGAGTCACTGCCAACCCAGTGCTCAGTTGTCGGTGTTTGCGGGGCCGCCACACGCCACTATAGGGAC